GAAGGAAAAAAATATCATTATAATTATTCTCGTCATATTCATAAACATTTTCTGTTAATTAAAAAATAAAATGAAGAATCATAGCGCCTCTTACACTTCACGTTACGTTACTATCTTCTTGACATTGCAAGTGTAATTAATACAATAAACACAAAATGGCAGGTAGTAAAAACCATTTCGATTCTGTCAATATTGCGCGTTAGGAGTTGAAACCAACATTGGTTTTGATACTGTATATAGGTGAATCACGGAGACAATGACTATATTCATTTTGCTAGATCATTTGGGATTTTTATTGCGTAAACAGTTGCTATCTAGAGATTTGTTCCTTTTGAAATGGTGACACACAAAATCTTTGCGGAAGGTGATTTTGGTTACATTTGGATTTGTACGATCAACAAACCAATCTGTTTTGGTCTCCGTTTAAGACTTCTGTATTCAATCGTTATATGCCGATTCACAGACCCCAAAAAATGTTGTTTTATAATTCAACACTGAATTGGTTATCACAGCCACAGATGACAATATTTCACATGAAGGGTCAATCATTTTTAGAGATTATAGCAAACATTATCATCATGATTATACTTCTTCATTTCCAGCGAAAACAGCAACAACGAACGAAATGCGAAAGACAACCAACAACATTCAATGTTGCCAAGTTACACTTCGAGAACAATAATACTGCGAGACATGGAGTAATCGCAATTCGTAACAAAATCCTTCCAATCGTTTCAAAAGTTGCAGAATTACATATTATTTTTGCTGTGACGGGAAACAAATTCGATTTCGCGGTTACGTAAATTAGATCGGATTAGATTTAGAGTGGGACTTTCTGGCTATCTGCCTCCACACCGCGACCCTTTCAGATCTATTCTGTCTGCCCTCAAAATCGTTTAGATTTCTTTGGCTAGCCCCGCCTTCTCTATGAGACTCCATAGGCTAGTTTTCAGATCCCCTGTGTAACTTTGAGCTCTTGGCTTTGCCGCACTAAGCGTGAGGAACCTTAATCTTGACAAGCCCTCACAGTGGCAAAGTATGTGTAGTCAGACCTATCGTACTAATGTGTTTGTTGTGCCTACAACGCCTTGTGAGTCCTACCAGTATTGTAGTAGTACTTCGTTTCTGCCTCAATAGATATTCTGTGAATGTTGGCGATGGTTTTTTAATGACCTCTTTTGCCTGTCCCATACCTGGCGAGCTGTTTCACCATCCTTAAGGTTTGATTTGCATCCAAGATTTGATACTTTTTTTTGTATAGCTTTTGCAATACCACAAAAGGGTTCTGGGCCAATCAGAGCTATGTTTGCTCCTGCTCGGGAAAGTGAGTCTGCTTCTTCATTGCCCTCGTACCCTGTATGTGCTGGTATTCCCATGCTAGAATCAGTCTGTTCTGACTCATTTAGGGTTTCTAAGCAGTTCCATACTAGCTTTGAGCTAACTCGCATTGAGTTAACTGCTTTGATTGCCGCCTGGCTATCCGAATAGATTGCAATGGTTTTCCCTTCAAGCTCTTGCCTTATCAATTCTTTTACGCCATGATGTATTGCAATAATTCCTACCTGAAAAACCGTCGCGTATTCGCCTAAGCTCAGTGAGATTCTTGTCTTTGGCTTGGTCCCATGAATACCAACTCCTGCCCCCTCCCTCGGGTTTGGAGCCGTCCGTATAAACAGCAATGTCTGCATTAAATAAATACAAAAAGCTGAAAGTCATTTCCACACAATGTTCATAAAATAAACAACAATGGTAGATTCCGGGAGAAATTGAATTACATCCTCTCGAAATCTATGCATCGACTCGTATAAACGAATACTGAAACAAGTGATTTTTTCCTGAATGCCTATTGATTTCGATTTAGCCAGGCCGCTAGACAACCTCAGACCGGTTTCGAGCTCTTTGACTCTCGTCAGTGCAGTGTAGTCTCCAGCCAGCAGTCCTAAGACCGCCGACAAAGCGAAGCCTAGCCAAACAAAAAACCGTGGGCTGAAATCTAATATTTTTGCCGTGTATAATACACTATTTTTTTCTGTGACAGAAGGAAGGACGAATCGATATTGAGATATTACATTATTTTGAAATCTGAAAATTATCAACGTGAAATTTTAAGTTTTCAACAGCAGGGACACCTGCGTTGTAGGCATCTTTATCATTCTTTTGAAGTAATCAAATATCTGATGTCACTTCTGTCAGTCTGATTCTGTGATTTGATTTCTGAAAATTGCGAATTTAGTGGTTGTTTCGTAATATACGTAACAGCGAAGTCGAACGGAAGATAAAATGATTTGCAGATCTTTCTCGGAGACGGTATTATTGATTCATTTTTCGGACTTAAAGCACAACAAAAGCCATCAACATCAGTGTATATGTGATATATATCCGGGAAAAAAGTACTCACTTTTTTCTCACGGGAAAAAAGTAATTTATGAAAAGTGACATTTTATAACCTGCCAACAGAGATGAAATGCTAAACTTTTTCTCCTTCACTGAAAAAATAATGTATTATATACGGAAAAGACATTTAGATTTTTGCTCACGTTTTTTTTTCTCCCTTTGTTACGCGTCGGGAAACAACACAACCTGAAGCTAAAATCTACTACTTTTTTTCCTGGTATGATAAATATCTATACGAGGTGTTTTTGGAATTGGTGCACATATTCAGCACATTCATTTGATACAGTAAGGAATATATCCATGATATCAGATTCTTTTCTAATTCTTCTAATAAACGAGATATTTCATCTCAAGAATTGAACAAGATACGAGAAAAAATCAAGTACGCCACTTTTAAACAATTTGAATGATTGAACTCCGCGTGATTTTGCCTACCGCATGGAAATTTGAATAGAGGTGACGTCAGATTTGCTACAGTGTAAAAATTCGGGTGGTCTAACCTCAAATTTGATTTTGATCTCAACACTTTTTCATTAGTGCCATGCGATAGTACACATCGAGCATTCTCAGTGTTTGAAAAATGTGCACTTATGTCAATGCCACCCTGTATATAATGTCAATTATGGATAAGTGCTACAAACTTTTGCGAAATTAACCATCAGTGTCAACATCAGTTAGCATCTGTGAATGTATACTCCCTATAAACGTTCACTTGTTTCAACACTCTGATCGCTTCTGGTGTCCAAATCTATTAGCATTTGTTAATGTATTGTTTGCCCAACTGCCCAAACCCTTTACTGATCTCAGCACCCTGGTGTCAACACACGCTAGCATCTGCAAAATATGCACTCCATATTCGATACTGGTTAGGTTAAAGTTTGATATTCCAGAGATCTTCCAAAAGATCTGCAAACAGTGTGAATATCGGTTGTACTTGTGCTCAAAAATCTGTTAAGTCAAGTACTGTCACTTTGAGGAAAAAAATTTAAATAGATGTAACTTATCTGGAATCATACCACATATTTCCCATACCAAAACAATTCGATACAAGACAAAATTGCTTAGTTTGGGCGCTAGAGGACTCTGGCTTACTCAGTACGAAAAACAACAAAAAATACGTCTTGCCACATTCAAATCTTTGTCGTCGTATGAATCTTTGTATTCATGGCAATGATGTTTTTTTTTTACAATTTTTGAAAAATATCTTCTCAGTGCGGACTGATGCTTTGAATTGATGAATTTCAAATTTTGTCAAAACCGTGAGAGAAATCTGATTGCAAGAGAACCTTTTTTGTAGTTAACAAGTTACACAATCCAAATTTCATTTTCAAACCCATTCCTTTCCAAATGTAAAAACTTCACGGACCATAAGATTTCCACGAAATTCTCAATCACACGACATGTTTCACTAACACAGTAGCTTCATCAGGTGAAATAACTGAAATACTGTCAAGCCAAGTTTGGTTCAGTTCATTGTACCAGTATTCCACCTGATGAAGCTAATGTGTTCATCATCCATCAAGTAACAGCCAAGTCAATTAAAAAATACATACATTACCATTGGCGTTAGAGTTTCAGATGTTTATTTACTGAAAAATTCAAGTTCCACGCATATGGAATGATATTCATCATTATCATGATATGGGTTTTATTGTCCAATGAAACTATTCCAACAACCAAATTTGAGTGAATTTCCATTCTCCGTTTCAAAGTTATGAGGCAAAAACGTTTCGAAAATTGTCTACCGCCCAAACTAAGCAACTTTGTACTGAGGTAAGTTTGCTTGTGTCGAATTGTTTTGGTCTGAGGTGAGTTTGAGTACAGACTCTTTAGACACAGCCTGTATGAACTGTCGTGTTTCGTCAAAGTTGCAATGTCATCAATTGAAAAAAGATTGAGTGCTGCTCGTTTTCAAATTGTGTGGCTGTATATTCTGGTTGTGATTCTTCATAGCCGAAAATAACCATCAATTTTGTTAGATTCAAAGTTAAAATCAAGATTATCAATGTTTCTTTCCTAAATGTTATAATACAATATATACTTAAATGAGGAAAAGAATTGGACCTAGTACATTTTCTTGAAGAACACCAAATATTAAGCTGAAAGATGCTGAAAGTATCTCGTAATATCGCCAATTGTTCTCTTTCCGATGTGTTACTCTTTAATTAGTCGAAACTCTTACTCCACGCGACACAATTTTGCATAGTTTCCTGAAAAGAATGTCATGGAAAGCTGTCATGAATCCTTTTTTGTCTAGAATAATAGTATCTTCTCATTTGGATGAATGAATTTTGGTTGCGAAATCAATAAGAATCGATGGAATCGCAAGAAACATTCTCGAGCAAAATGTTTGACGTTAAAATTGATGTTAAATGTCTGACATAACCTCCTACCTTATCGGGGACTCTTTGTTGATATGTTATTCAGGACAAGTATAAGTATTAAGTATACTTCCCGGAAGCACTTTTTACTTGATAACATACCAATGCTTAAGTATAAAATTATAATGTATTGAGGTGCAATTTTTCACTATAAAATATCCTGTCCCCATTTCAGATATTTAATGAAAGCAAATCATTGCATTCGTACCAATTTTATTTTTTCAGATCCGCCTCTTTGCAGTCACATTATGGCTGGTATTTATTTTGCAGAATCTATCAGAAACCGAATGAATCCATTCATAGGTGTGAAATGTGACAACTTTGCCTACTATTATTTTGGATCATGCAATTCTGCTGATACGACCGTAATGGGTGAATATGTACCGTATATGTGAGTTATTAGTGAAAATAAGTAGGTATATCCTGAAGTAACAGAATGAACTCATTTGATTTTCAGCGCCAGAGGGTCCTACTACGTGATCACCACTAATGAATCTACATTTGGATTGGATAACATCTATCCCAACAATTTATATACCTAACTACAGTGTGTCTGAAAAAGTTAGCAAATTATAAGAATCGTTCTTATTGAAAAATTTATGGAAAAAGTCATTCCTCATAAAAAAATCTGTAAGGTCTAGACCGAAAATGCAAATATCAAATATACATTTTTTCCAGTAGTAATCAAGTACCTTAATTTCCGACAATATGGAAAATTTTCAGGAACCCAACACATCTGCTATTGTTTGAAACGCGCCAAACTTTTATTATATACAGGGTCATTTGTTTTTCTGGAAAGGACATTAACTCTGATTCTTTTAATTAAACACCTATAAATGTTTTGACATGTCGATAGAGCTTTTTTTATTTCAAAAATATAAATGAGTCGAATATTTGGATGGAAAATTGTTGAGTTATTAATGATCGAACTTTACCAAAATACCGCAGTTGAACATGGTTTTAGCTTTGAAATATTGTTTTTCTGCAGCCGACACAAAAGTCATCCATTTTCATACCGGAATAAGCTCTTGAATTGACGTTTTTCACTGACACAAAAATAGGCATGTTGCTAGGCAACACATTTAGTTCCTGGGAGCTAGAGTTGAACTTTAGTGCCTAGGAGCATGAGTTGAACTTTTTAGCTCCTAGAAACTAAAACGGATTTACTAGAGGTCATCAAGAATAAACAACATTGTTATGGTTGGTTATTTGGGTTGGGACGCATACCTGATTTGTTTATGATTTCGGCAGATTTGGCATTCCATACCCATGCTGGAGATATAAATACACCTCAGTTCAGTCTTTGAGTTTTCACACTATTTAATATAGTCGAGGTTTTAGTTGAGTATTTTTGTTTTGATAGGGAAGCCTTCAAGATTCACATACTTGCTTGATCTGTATTTCATTCGTTATTCTCGGAATGCATAACTTGTTTTTGAATAATCACGGCCAGTAATAGAGTTGTTTGTCTCAAACAACGATATTATTTACCTACATTTGATTATCGAGTCAAACACAGTGGGGTATGGAGAGAAATAAATAATTGCTATCATTATTGTTGATATGGTCACCAACCTAACATTTTCCTCGTCTTTTTCCTATACCTGGCACTTGCGCGGTATTTGCCATTAGAGCACCTGGTCAATACAAAAATATGTCACTCTGTGGTTGTATTTATATTGAAACTACAACTCGAACATCCTTGAGAATTAAATAAACCTGCTGTTAATGCAGGTAGAATATTCTCACCACACAGAATATTTGTTGCATTGCATACATATGGCACGGCATTGGTGGTTACTTCGCATATTTATTTGAGTTAATTGTTCTGGTTGCAGAAAACATAGCATGTTTCATTAGGCTCAAAAGTGACTTTGTTTGACTCACAAATTTTGCTTTCGCTTGGCTTCGCTAAACGCTCCGCCTCGCAAATGCAAAATTCGCTTGTCAAACAAGGTATCATTTTTGGTCCTAATAAAACAATGTATACTGTTTGAGATCCAACGAAATGTCACGATATTGTTTATTGTCAAAAAGAAATCGTTTCATCTCAATGAAGAATTATATGAATGGACTGTTTAGATGGAAAATGCGTAATTTTGGTAAACGTTCATAATTAATGCCAAAATATGCAACTCATTTAAATATTTTGAAATCAGAATGGGAGGTTCTAGCGGAATATGAGCGGAATATGAAAATATATATAGGGTGTTTCATTCGAATAATCAGAGTTGATGCTTCTTCTGGAAAAACTATAATATATAAAATAACTTCACAAAAAGAAAGTTTGGGTTGTTTCAAACATCTTTCTTATCTTACATTTCTTTCGTATTTTCAAAGACGAAATAGTTAAGAGGGGGTTCAATTTTAAAAGGTGCACCCTGTACAGAAGCAAACACATCTGCGACATGACATCTCTGAGATGTCATGATGATGCAACACTACGATATCACGAATCTTGCATCGCTGCGATGTATACATGTGGTCATCGTATTTCGGAGAATTTGTCAGAAACTTGTAATGTAGATTCTTGTTATGTAAGAAAGAATACATAAATAGGGGCCAGGTAGCCGTGCGGAAAGAGTGTCAAAATTTTAATCCGCATTCGCTTGCCGGTCGTGGGTTCGATTCCCATCGACTGCATCGACTGCAGAAATTTCTCTGATGGCCCAAGAAAATGTTTGGGATCACACGTTAAAAGGTAAGACCCCCGTCATTCCATGCTTGCACAAGACTCTCGAAGACTTCTGAGGGTTGCTCGTAAAGAAGCAACCGAATGACGGTTAGAACAATTTTAGAACAATACATACGTTACTCAACAAAGTGAAGCTGAATTCGCAAACATTCGTTACATCGTTATCAAACAATTCTCTTATATCTCGCCGACACACACTACATAACTTTTAATGCAAATACGAGTAACTGATCTCATCCTGATGGAGATACGTAAAGGTATATTGATACTTAGAAAATGATAGCTCCATTGAAATGACGATGGACTGTACGTACAGTAGACACAAGGGACCAACAACCAGTCACAACAATGCATCAGCTGTATTATCACACCATGTTTGAGGACACTTTTTACGTTTCACTGTGAAGTTATCTCGCATCACATCGTAGTTTTATCACAAAAAAACATCGTTTTTCCATAACAAATAACATATCGCAATTACATGGCAAAAAATATCACGCTGTTATATCGCAGAGAACTAATCGCAGTAACATCGCATGAATGAAACTCGAGTGGGACAAAATAACATCTCTCTGACATCGCAGCGACGTATATGCGATATCGCTGGTCACAATTGTTACATCGCTGCGATATCTCTGTGATGTAGTTATGTTTGCTGGGGAGAAAAGTTCACTAGAATCGAAAATGACGTTCTAATATCTATGTATATAGATCTACAATGGAAATGAGGTTTAATAATGTTTTACAATCTTGAGATCGATTTATGTGGGAAACTTTTCTAATATCGATCTAAGGGAAAAAATGCATCCCTAATAAAAAGGTCCGCAAGGCAGAAATCGAATTTTTCTGGCAATTCCAAAGTATGTAGTTGCCAAGTTCAGTTTCACGACTGAAACAATTTGATATCTGATATTCACAAAATTGTAGCTGAACAATTTTTTCTTTTGTTGCCAAATTTTTCAGACATACTCTATATGAAATATTTTTATTGTCTAATTTGCAATTTCAACAAAGATAGATGATATGCACCTACTTGAAAATTGCATTTGATGCCAAAACCTATACTGTCCTTAAATTATATAATGTATACATAATATTATGAATGAAAGACAGGATAACTACTAACCTTAGCCCTAATCGCTCGTTTGAATAATTAGGCCCTCAAATACACTTTAGTTACCTACTGATATGATATATCGGGTTGAAAAATTCAGAACCACTGCGAATTATAACTCGTTCTTATTGGACGTTTTTATTGGACATTTTCAACTGGGGGATGATACCGGCCAGTGTTGTAATACTGGATGTCAAAATTGTCAAGTTACTATATCACTCTGATGAAAACTTTGAAGCGGTCCACGTTTAAATAACAAACAAGTAGGTAGTGGAAATTAAATTATTTTATTCTATCTGATCAATAATCGCCTCGACTATAAGTAATAAATTATAATTATTGTATGTATCTATGAGTAGATGAATTTAAGAAAGATTTTTCTAAAATTGTCAACCAAAAAAGCTGAACGGTGAATTGGAGTTCGGAGTGCTGGATGGTGCTTCAATGTTGGGAGCTGTCAAACAACATCTGTTATCACCAATTGCTCCTTGACTGGTGGGGCAAAACGGTGGATACTTGTCGTGGATACAGTATGACCCAGAAGCTCTGAAATCGAGACATCAATTCGAATAGTTGAAATATCAAAAGACAAACACAAAGAAATGAAAGAATTTATGTTCACGTTCTGAAATGTATTTCAAAATTTAGAATTTGTATATATAGAATTACCTTATCTCTTTTTTTTTACAATGGCTGAAAGAATAACTGGACTACAGGTTACTGATGAGGACATGATATCCAAAATGAGTTCTACTCGACTTGAGTCATATAACCTGTTCGTGAGAGATATAATTCCCATATCACTGATACGAATCATTTTTTTGAAAGTTCCAAGCTCATCAAGATCAGAGTTCATGCAAGTATACTTCTCCTATACATTTCAATTTCCATTTCAATACTGAACATATTGGTAAGTTATATTTTTTTATATCATAATAGATCATTTTATTCTATTCAATTTCAGAGATAATTGAAATTCTCAATTTCAGAGGATTTTGATCTTTCATGCTCTCTTTTTGGATATTCAACAGATATAATTCAATGTTAGATGTTGTTTTCTGTTGATATACATATGCATATTTTTATATGAAGGAGAATGTAAATTCTCTACTTCAGAAGAATGATTTCAAGTTCTTATTATCGTGTGTGTTCAATAGATGTAATTCAATATTCGTCGTGGCATATAGCCAGGAAAGTAGTTGTTTTCTGTTGAATAAACCGAAAAAGAATTAATATTTTCATCACATGGGGAATGCGAATCCTCAATGTATTTCTTTTGTAGGGTCCTTTCGTACGAAAGCGCTAGTTGCCAGTTCAAACTGGCAATTATAGGTAAAAGCCAGTTTGAACTGGCAATTATGGCTAATTGCCATTTCAAACTGGCATTTATGACTAATTGCCAGTTCAAACAGGCAATTATAGCCAATTGCCAGTTCCAACTGGGAATTATAGCCAATTGCCAGTTCCAACTGGGAATTATAGGTATATGCCAGTTCAAACTGGCAATTATGGCTAATTGCCAGTTCAAACTGGCAGTTATGGCTAATTGCCAGTTCAAACTGGCAATTATAAAAAAAAGTATCATGTCCGATCAGCGCTTTCGTACATTCGTACACCTCAGTACAAAAGAAATAACAAAGAATAGCTGATAGCACTCTTGAATTTTTTTCGTCGTATACGTACGTATTTCATTTGTATACTTGGGAATAATGAGAATTCCGAACAATCTCATTCATGTAATCTATGAAAATTAATTTGGTGTTTTGGTGACTGATGCTTTGAATTACTAAAATTTAAATTTTGTGGAAACTTGGAAAGCATAAGGGTAGTGCAGAAAATATCCGAAGTTTATTTTCAGATGTTTTCATATCAGAAGATATGATGAGAATATTGTTATTATTCAAAAGTCATAAGAATATCGCAGTGGGTGTATAAAGGCAATTCATTCCTAGATAATTCAGCAACAAACTAGCCAAGAACCATAGCCAAATTTGGCTTCAACGCATCACATGGAAATGGATCATCTTATTTCAGTGTGTATAATCAAAGCGAATTCACTTACGATAGCGGAGTGCCTTGGCCAATGACCACAGGAATACCTATTCTGCTACCAGGCCGTGGTCCCGACGGACAACGTCTCGAGCAAGGCTCGGCTTTCTTGATCATTCCTGGAAAGAGGCTTTCGGCCATGTAACAGATAGCCCACACGTGGCTGCACAGCTGGACGTCAACTGAAACATAGATCGCAGGTGTGATAGCCTTGCCAATTGGAACATCTCCAGCAAGAAACATCAGCCGTGCGCTGCCAGGCACTCTAAAACACTGAGTTTGGAAAGATATCAGGAATGAAAAACAGTTGCAATACTTTCAAACTCCTTTCGACTGTATAGAAACGTCCGTATAGACTCTTAAGAGCAACTTTACAGTCGCTTCACAGTTTTCAATTTCATCCTGAAGGCAGATTGATTGATTAAATAAAAATAATAATAATGAGAAACCTAAAATCTCAAGACTAAAAGATTCTAGGGGAACTTTGTGAATCGGTTATCAGCTGGTGCTTGCCAAGCCCCATCAGTTGCAGTAGGCCAGCTGACAATCGAGAGTGTTAAGTTTTCATTTATATAAATCAATTATAAATTCTTCAGGGAACTTCTATTTCTTACTGGGAATCTACCAATGCCCGTTATTTGTCACAATATCAATGAAACATTTAGAATGTACTCACTGTCGGCGTTTTCGCAATAAGGCTGCACCCGCCCCCCATTGATGCAGAAATCAACGTGGCCGCTCTTGCCGCCCTCGCCGTAGTGTCCGGCATTGGTGTGCAGAATGTGGACGGCCATCGCGCTGCCACTGGTCAATCTGCTGCTGGGCATGATTAAAGGTCTGGCTGGGTCCAGACCAACTACCCTATGGAGGCGGAAGTTGACGAACTGCGAGATGAGCCCACACACATGCGCACCTGAAACAGTGTGTGAATATTACAGATAGTCAAAGGAAGGAATAAGGAATGCACGAAGTCATCTCTACAACTTTCAATGGTGTTGTTACACAATCAGAAGGGACATAATACGGTCTCATAAAACATTATCTTCATCCTAATTCAAAGTTCTAACACATCAATCTTCCATTTTGTATTGTAGAACTTTCAATTGGGCTGAAGATGATCTTTTATAAGACCGAAACGTGTCCCTTTTGATTCTGTAACAACACCATCAGAATTTGTGGAGATGACAACGAGCATTTCTTCCTTCTTTTGAAAAATTTCACTTCACCTTGAGCATACTCAAAGGCAATATGGACTTCTACCAGAGATAAATCACAGACAGTGTTTGTTTGACCTTTCAGCAAGCGAGCTGTCGTAAAATGCACGACAAACTGGTTTAATAACTTTCCCTACTTTCCACTCGTGAGCATCGAGCTCCGAGCTATTCGAGTTCATAAAGATATAGCATCCCAGACAGCACAGAATATTCTATGAATATTTTGCCAACGTTCAAATATTCTCATTTCAAAATATTTCATTAGAATGTTCTCAAAATGATCATAGAATGTTCTCATTCTGCAACGAATATTCAATGAACATTCAATTCGACATATTCTGAGAATATTCTTTTTGGATTTTCTGAGAATATTCTGAATCGTATGGAAATGTATGATATTGATGTTCCTATTCTTGTATTAATATTCATAAAGTTCACCCTGACACAACCTTACATTATCTAGCCTCAATGCTGATTATCCCCCTAATTCATCGTTGTATAAAGTCCGTGGCGAAGTGGTAAGGTTTCAGGTCCAAGCTAGACCTTATACCAAAGGAACAGTTCGGGTTCCGCAAGGGGCACAGCACTATGTCCCATCAAGTGACCCGAATTGTTCACGAGGTCAAAGAGGCCAGTAATAACGACAAAAACACTGTTATGGTCATGATGGACGTAGAAAAGGCTTTTTACACCGTCTGGCACGAAGGTCTAATGTCCAAATTGTTAAAGGCTAGAATGCCGATATTTATTATTGAAATTATGGATGCATATATCACCAACAGGAAAATCCGGGTTGAGGTCATTGAAAGTATATCGGGAGATTTTCCACTCGAGGCAGGTGTTCCGCAGGGGTCGTGCCTGTTACCTCCATTATATACCCTATACACGCATGATTTTCGATCCTGTATATTCGAGCAGACGAGCACAGCACTGTACGCCGATGACACGGCTATATATGCTCACTCGGACGACTCAAATATCGCCAAGGCACAGATCCAGATCCATCTGGACCGGGGATTCATACCGTACTTTGACGAGTCAAAGATCCACATCAACAGCGCTAAAATCGAAGTCATAAATTTCCACCAGAATCGAAACAACTCCACGTTGAGCACACCTTTGACCGTCAAAGGGGTTAAGGTGACAGACACGTCCCCCGTGAAATACCTGGGAGTCAAGTTGGACACCCATATGTCATTCAGGAAAAACACGAACTATCTGATCAAAAAAACACAAGCTGCGATAAAAAAGATGTATCCCTTGTTATCCAGGACCTCCCCCCTCTCATTAGAGAATAAGGTCCTGGTTTACAAGCAGATTATCATACCTGTAATGACCTAATGACATACGCGTGTCCGGTGTACTGCAGCATCCCACCTACTCATATGAATAGGTTACAGGTGCTGCAGAACAAAGTACTCCGTATTATCATCAACGGTGATAGATACTCTCGAGTGGCAGATCTCCACGAGAGATGTGGTAATTTGCCTAGAATTGGTGAATACATCTTGCAAATAGAGAATAAATTCTACAAATACCACATCGCTGGAAGTGACCTTACCCGGAATATCACAACATTCAGACAACACCACAACATACATAAAAAACACGGGCTGATATATGCACCAACCGACGTGTTTTGAGAATCAGATGATCTATAGGCGATAATCTCTCCGGATCCTTGGACAAGTCCGAGACACTGGAGAGAATCTAGACAACACTATCTCCCAAGCACGAATATAAGAAAGTGTCACACAGAGGACACTGAACTCGGGTAGTCGTGCCCGTGTGGAAACACATACGCACAACTGCCCGAGACAAACAAGAAGGAGGTTTTTTGTTTTTAAAAATTTTATTTTTCTTCCAAAACACGAAACCCTTTCCACTCTGATCGCGCATGAGCAGCTCCGTATGTGTTGTAATTGTGAAATATTGTAAAAGAAATGAATGACTTTAATACAGGTCCGTAAAAATTCAATCAAAAGAGTGTGTTCGCATCTCCACCGGAGCGAGCTTTTTTTAATTCTCTTTCTTCTCCTTCAATATACTAGGAATATTTGAAACAGTCCATTCCGAATGATCATAGAACGTCCCTAGAATATTTGTATCATATTGTGAAAATATTCTGAGAATATTCAAATATTCTCGAAGAATATTCTATAAACGTTTTACGAATGACATAGTGCTATCTGGGATCATTCTCTGTTATAATTAATGGGAATGCACTGTTTTATTGCGAGATTCGCAGAAATGCCACTCGAATCTGATAGGTATTATGGTATTTATCAATAACGACTTGTCATTTGCTGCCTACATGGGCGCCGGGAGGAGGGGGCGGGGGGCGAATCTAGATAGACCGCTAGATATAGATCTATACGTTGATTTTTTTTTCAAATAGAATATGTGTTAGATGATTTGACTACAGAGATTTTAATCAAGCCACAAGATGCGAAGCCGAGCAACTTCCTTGTGCGTCATCGATTCGCGATAGAAAATAAGCGTACGCCACCTATCGGATTTCTTGAAAGCTGTCAAAGCGGCATGTTTACTTTGTTTTCATTGGTTCACATTTGTTTTTTCTTTGTTCTTATTGGTCACATCATCAAAACAAACCGCTCAGAAGTGTTCAAATTGTTGCCGTAAGGTGGAGCGATGTGTAATTTCTTCGCGAATATCAACGTACCTACTTCAAAATTAATTTCTTGTCTTAATATCATTTCTGAATACCCAGCCCAGCTGAAGCCAGTTATAAATAGCCTGCAGTGAAAATCTGTTAATTTGTTAGAAACTCAGATAATCTGTTGCATATAGTCTAAAATAATAGGATATATTCAAATGAATATTTTGGTTCTATTTCTATGATCTCAAGCTCAGAAAACGAAAGTTGATACTGGCATTTTTTTCAAATGTCATAGCAAATGCATTCAAAGCACGTCACATCTCGATGTCAACCACAACTCAGAGAATAAAAGTTGATAATGGCATTTTTTCTCAAATGTCATATTGCAATGCAGTCAAGGCATATCACCTTTCGATGTCAATAACAATATGATAACCACCCATCAGTCAGCAAAGTTAGCAATTCTATACCCTCTACCACCTACGGGAGTGCGAGAGTAATGTCTCTCAGGACAATTCTGTATCTGATTCGGATCAAATTCAATTTCTTATATACCTGTATTATCAGTTTGTTTCTCACGTTTGATTTTTTCATTTGTTTTGTATTTTTGTTGCTCATTTTCATTATTCGTTCCTGTTTTTTATAAACTCAAATCTTATTATTACCTATGTGACTGTATTTTGTGATATTTGTGAGTATATCGAAGACTGGAACCTTTGGCACGATAATACACTACACTGTTTTACCACTAACCAAACCGATTTATTAACGCCTCGACACGTGTTTCGCTAACTATGTTAGCATCTTCAGGAGAAGATTAAAACTTTTAAGTTTCAAGTTTTAATCTTCTCCTGAAGATGCTAACATAGTTAGCGAAACACGTGTCGAGGCGTTAATAAATCGGTTTGGTTAGTGGTAAAACAGTGTAGTGTATATTTGTGAGTATTTCTGAATTGTGAATTAGGAATATTTTTTTTTTTTATGAGAATGTTTGTTTTGTTCGTCTCTATTTATTTGGGAATAGGTTACTTTTCTGTTTACTGAAAGTAAAATCATAATGTTATTCGTATAGCATGAAATAGATCTGAATTTTTTACAAGGTATTTACTGATGAAATAAAAATCGAACTGGCAACCATCCATAGTCCGCGCGGTTAGTGGTTGATAACAACTGTCATTTGTTGTTGTCAAATTAATTATTGACGAATTCCGATAGATTATTTCAGGTGTGAATAGGATCGTGATGTGTATAGGGTGCTCCATTACTAATTGGAGATATTTCAACCATAGAATCCCGGACTCAAAATATGAAGATTCAACTCAAATCACCTAGATGAAATATGTCTCCTGTCTGAATTTTATTCAAAAATTCTGAAATGTTTTTTGCCCAGTTCTTCAAAACTATCTGACGTATCACTTTCCTATTTGGAGGGAAGTGTAGGTATTATACACCCAACTGAATTATGTGAAATGAACTTTTCAACTATTACCAGAGGGGTACGACAGGGGCAATCAACTGGTTGATCCCTCCCAAATTCTACGCCACTATAGCGGAATTGCAATTCTATCACAAATTTTTTATTCTCCAACAATTTTGACGTAGATATTGTAGTCTTTCTCCATGCGATAAAGTCATTATTTTTCGAGATATTTCAAGTTAATTATGAAGCAGCACAATTATTTTGAATTTGATGTGTATCGATAATGTCGATATTTTGGATAAATGGACTGCATCCATCAATCAAATGAAACTTCAATCCATATCAACATAAAAACATAACAGACGGGAGCTGTTACAGGGCGTTTTAAATTTTTTAATATATTACATAATCAAACACCCTGTAACAGCTCCTGTCTAATATGTAATTATGTTTTTATTGTTAATATGGATTAAAGTTTCATTCCATTGATGAATACAATCCATTGATCCAAAATATTGACAAAATTAATGCACATTGAAATCAAAATGATTGTGCAGATTTATGTTTAACTTG